AGAGGCTGGTCGACTAGTCACTTACATCCCTATCATCAATTATTAAGATGCCACACATTTCCCACTATAAGAGACTGTTTACAGTTGCTTGTAACTCTACCAGACTTTAAACATTTAGGTTGAACTTTTACCTGTTGGGTGTCTGCTTCAGGCTGAAAATTTGTGGAAGATTTTAGCCACAACAGTTCAGTTGTTTCTGAGAACAAGACTGGTGGGGGCACACATTTTGTTCATATTAAATTATGATGACCTTTTCTGTGAACAATACTTTTGGAGCAGGGTCTTGAAGTTCAGTGGGAGATAGGAGGGTGTCAAGGGTGTGCATTTTACATTGTTGTGAAAATCAGCTTGAATTTGGCCAAGTTACAAGCCTTTGAAAAAAATCGCAATTCTCACACGGTTGAGTGCAGACTTTTTAGTTGCAAATCTCTGTCGGTTTTGAAAATTCCATTCACGCTGAGTGTTCTTTAGCCAAGGACTGGGCAGGACTTTCCCCGCAATTGCTGCTGGGCACTTGGGCCAGGGCAGGCCAGATTTAGGCACAGGAAGGGTATGTCTATACTACAGCTGTTAGTTCGAATTAACTTTAATAGCGATGTGACGCCCCAGGCGCGTCACTCCCAAAAGTACGTAATTGCGGTCGGGGGTTTGCTCCCCGCTGCGTTCGTTCTTCCTTTTCTGCCCCTCTGGGGGAAGGGGGCCTGGGCCCGCCCCCACTCACGGGCCCCAGCCCAGGGCCCTGAGGACTCGGATCACGCGAGATCCGGTCCGGCTGACGGGGTTTGGAACCGTAACTCGTCAGCGCACCAGCCAATCAGGGCTCTGCCCTGGGCCACTTCCTTCCTCGCCCTTCTCGGCGCTACCCTACCCCCCCAATGCTTGGGGCGTCCTCCTTACCACGCAGCCATGGGCCGGGTGAGAGGCCGACAGCGGGCAAGAGTGTCTCGGTCTGTAAAAACCCCCTTCCTTCCCGGCATGGGCACCTTTTAAATGCCGCGCCAGGGCTGCGACCCAGGCTGTCCCCAGGTGCCCCGCCCCTTGCGTTCGCCCGGTTTTGCGTTGCCATAGCAACGTGCCTGACGCCTCTGCTGCTCTCCGCCGGCGCCGGGCGTGACGTCCTCTGAAGGCGCTGGCCGGGCGGTCGCCG